TGTGTGTGTGTGTGTGTGTGTGTGTGTGTGTGTGTGTGTGTGTGTGTAGAAAAAGGAGAGCAGGCCAGTCCTGCTGGTCACCCACACTGCCCCTCACTGACTGCCCCTCCCACCTTCATCCTTTGATACAAGACAATGCTATAGAATGAGTGGAGGCTGCGATGAATGTGGCCTCACTTTCCCCATTTGTAAAATAAGGAGGTTGATCTCGATGACGTGAGGTTGTCTCAGATCAAATGATATAGTGGAAAAGACATCAGAGAACTTGCATTCACACCCTACTTGGCCTACTTACTCACTACCCCATCCCTCAGCCTCAGTTCCCTCACTTGTGAGTGAGGGGGTTGGCCTCGGGGATCTCCGAGAACCTGCCTGGAGCTCTTGGGGGGCTCCCAAGATTCCAGTAGTGTTGGCCTAGTAGAGGCCAGCGTGTCCTGGATGGCAACAGCTGGCACAAATGCCGTGCCTTTACAGACGCGCTTTCCCTTGATGCGCTGGACATATTTAGACCAGGTGAATCCCAGCCCATGAGGCTCATGGCCCAGAGCACCCAGGCATACACCGCGGAGAAACAGGCCCCTCTGCATCTGAGGGGGTGCGCTGGGTCCCTCCTGGCCTACGCTGTCTGTTGCCATCATTCAGGGCTCATTCTAGGAAGGGCTGGCTCACGCGCTTGGCATTCTCACTGCTGGGGAATGAGCAGCCCTGGGGTGCCCAGCACTCTGGCTCCCTCCAGCCTGGGATGCCAGCTCACGTCAGCGCCTCTACTGCTCTCCATGCCCCTCACCCGCGAGTTAGCCGCCAGCCGTCCAGGCCGCTCTTGGGTTTCCTCAGCTTCCTGCCAAAGATTTGGGCACGGGTGGGAGGAGGGGGAGAAGAAACCCTGGAATGCTCGAGGCCCTGGTGGGCTCCCTCGGCCTGCTCCTTGCTCACATCCCATGGAGCTTTCTGCCAGCAGAGCTGAGCTGGACTTGGACAGATTTGCGATGTTCCCAGAGAAGCGTGGCCTGCAGGGGGCTTCCGTGGCCCGGCCTGGAGGGCCGCCTTGGGGGTCTCTGGTGAAGCAGCTCCCTGGCAATAAATGGTTGACTGGCTCCAGAAATCTCTCCCTGGGGCTGTTATTTTTATTTGGTGAAAGCTGTAGGCGGGGAGGTTTCTGAGCTTGCTTCTTGTTGCCTCCTTGTCTCCCAGGGACCAGCTGTGGGTTCCCCACCTTCGCCCCTGCCTCTGGGCACCCCATTTCGACTCCTGCTTGGCCCCGAGTTTGGCTAACGGCTCCTCTCTCCTCTCTCCAGGCACACTTTTTGGCAGTTTCGACGTGAGAACCCACAGACCAGAGTTGGGGACCCTCCTCCCGATGGGCTCCCCGGCTTCAACAGTGGCGTGATGCTGCTGAACCTGGATGCCATGCGTCAGTCGGCGCTCTACCAGCGGCTGCTGGAGCCGGTGGCGCTGCAGCAGCTCACTGAGAAATACCGCTTCCAGGGCCACCTGGGCGACCAGGACTTCTTCACCGTGGTGGGCATGGAGCACCCCGAGCTCTTCCATGTTCTAGACTGCACCTGGAACCGGCAGCTGTGCACCTGGTGGAGGGAGCACGGCTACGGCGACGTCTTTGACGCCTACTTCCGGTGCGAGGGCCACGTCAGGATCTTCCACGGTAACTGTAACACGCCTATCCCAGAGGACTAGGGGCCCGGGGCCTTGCCCTGTCCCCCAGGCTTTGGAGATAGAGCAGTGTGAGGCCCCGCTGGGCTTGTTCCCCGGCCTGGCTCCCCTGGGGCTCTCCCCGTTCAGCCGGTCTCGGTCCACCACCGAGGCTGTCCATCCCACCTGCCCGCGGGTGATGGGGTGGGGGAAGGACAAGAGGATGGTTGGTCTTGGCAAGGAAGAGGGATGATTGCCCCGCTGGCCAGAGGGCAGTGCTGCCCGGGAGGGAGGGGCTGAGTTCTTAGGAGAGAAGGAAGAGAAGAAACGCCCCCTCCCGTGACGGGGCCTTTATGGCCATCCCGTCCTGAATCAGATCATGTGATGTCAGTGCTCACCAAATGCCATCCTCGTTTGGACCAAATACAGACTAACTGAGAAACAAGAGGCTTCCATCTTTGATGGACACCCGAGCATCGGCCGCTCCTGTTGGTGTGGCCCTTGGTGCCAAGGCTGCACCGGCCCCTGAGGTGCCTCAGAACCATGGCCAGAGTCTCCCTACGGTCCACTCTGAGCTCGACTCCACTTGGGGCGTTGGCCTTCCTGATCGCGTACGCTGTTCACCATTATTTGGCTCTGAGCAACCGTCTCCTGCGACGAGATGAAGACTGGGCCCTCCCCTTGAAGGAGAGCCGATTCACCCAGTATTATTGCGCCCCGTGAGTCGGCATCCCGGCCACATCCTCCGGGACATACGTCCAGCCCCGAAGGTCGGCTGAGAGGGCCGGCTCCTCTGAGGCTGAGCCAAAGGCAGCCGTCAGCAGAGCTCGTGCAGCCGACTACCGTGGTGGTGACCATACTCTGTGCCATGCTTGGTAAAATGGCAGCCTCGCTGCTCGTCTTCAGACCTTGTAAGTAGCCGTCCTGCCCCAGGAGGCCAGTGCCCATGTTCACCTCCATTCTCTTAGCTTCAGGTGGGCCGCAGAGCCCAGGGGAGTCCCCGGGGTGCGGGAGGGGGGCGTGCCGGAGATTTCTCCCTTGTGTGTTGACGTGTATGTTTGCCCGAGGGTGGCCGATACCTGGCCGAGGCCCGCACACTGTTCCATGCCGCCTATTCTGAGCGTCGTTTTTAACTGCACGAGGGCTCAGGTCCAGAGCTTAATAAATTCAGTGGAAAGAACCTGTCCTCCTCCGTTGATTGTGTTGGGACTGTGGGAAGCTCGAGCTCTGAGCCAGAGCCCTTAGGCTTTGTGGGGACCATCGTGGGGGGGCATTGCAGGCTCCAGTCCCGAGGGAGGGGCCCAGGCTTTCCAGCTATTGTGGCCCAAGGAGTCTGCTCCTGAGATGGGAAGGAGCATCGGACTTGCGACACCCTGGGTCAAGATTCTCTCCTTTGCACGGCAGAGCCCATGTGGGTTTCCCAGAGAATCTACAGCCACGGCTATTTGCACTTGGTGAGCCGGATTCAGGGCCCCTCTGTGCCCCCTTGGCTCACAGGCCCAGGCTGAATGCAACGTCTCTGCCCTTTAACCCTTTCTGTGTGGATGGTGTGAATGCCCTTACAGAGGGCTGGTCTCCAACATGGTAGAGACCAAGCTCATTTCAGTCACTTCTGTGGAAGGACAGATATGCTGACGGGCAGTCACTCATCTCTTGGGTGGTAAAGCAGCATCCTGGAAGCCCTCTCCTAGGCAACACTGTGTTAACCTCATTTAAGTTCAGCTGTTCAGGAAAACAGAAACGATGCTGCTTCTTTCTCTTTAAGAAATGCCCAGATTCCTCCTTTCCCCTTTCAGACTAGCATGGCTGCCTCCGTGGGCCTGTGGGCTGGGCATGCAGCACGGCATGGCCGTATGTCAGTGCCTCCCTCAAACGACGTCTGCCCGCCTGTCCTCAGGCTCACGGGGGCACCTGGCTGCCTCCCTTTGTCCCCGTGACTCCTAGGCTGTCCCAGCCGGAAGGGGCCTCGGCATGGTGCCCTCTCCCTTTCCCATTGTCCTCTGCCCCTGCCGCTTTGCAGGGGCCTTCTCCTTCAGCCCAGCCTCCCATCCACAGAGCGAGCCTGTTCCCAGCCCCACTTTCAGAGAAGGGCAGCGGCCCATGCGGCAGCAGCTGGGAAAAGAGGCCGCTGCTTCTGTTGCTACCTCTGCCCAGAGCTCCTGCAAGAATCAGCCTACCTTGGGCCTGCTGGGAGGGGCTCAGGGCGGTGGTGAGCCACGGGGGAATAGCATGTCTCTCTGCCCCTGGTTCCTTTGGGTCAGCATGAGAGCTCCCTCAGTAACAAAGCAGAGTGCTTGGACCTGGCACCCTGGGCCTAGCTCTGCTCTCACCAGGCTCCTGGCTGCAGAGCCTATGGGCATGTGCGGGTGGAGAGAGAGGGACAGAGGGAAGGAGGGCCTGGGGGAAGGCGGGCCCGGGGGGGAACGAGGGCCTGGGGGAAGGAGGGCCCTGGGGCTGCGCGGCTGTGTCCTTTCTGCTTTGTACACGCACCTTCACCATCACTAGTCTATCTCTTGTTGGTGTTTAGGGATCTGGGCCCTGGTGGGCTTGGGAGACTCTACCTGGGGCTGTTGGCTCATGCATGCATGCCTTCCTCCTCCCTCATTTCATGGTTTATTAAACTCCCCTTGCATGGGTTTGTGATTTTCTGTTCATGCACACACACCCACCCACACACCCAGATGCACACACACCAACACACCCACACCCACACCCACATACACACACACACGCGCACACACAACCGCCATACCCACACACATATGCACACACGTCTACATACACGTACCTACATACCCACATATATACACACACAACCGTACCCATGCACACACGCACCCATACACATACATGTGCACACATACCCATATCCAACTATATACTCACCCGCATGTGTACACACTCACATGCACATGTACCCACACCCATACCCACACATACATGCACACACACGCACCCACACACCCACATATACACACACCCCCATACCCATGCACACATATACCCATACATGCACATGTGCACATACACCCATACCCATGTATACACACACCCACACACACACACACACACACTCACATGCACACGTACCCACACACCCATACCCACATATACATGCACGCACGTACACACACACACACACACACACACACACACACACACACACACCCTCGAGGCAGCTCAGTATTGTAGTGGACCCAGTACTGGGCCGGGATTCAGAATGACTTGAGTTCAAGACCCGAGCCTCAGACACTTCCTGACTGTGTCATCTTGGGTAGGTTACATCTGTTTGCCTCAGTTCCCTCAGCTGTAAAATGGGGGTAATGACAATATCTACCTTGTAGTGTTGTCGTGAGGATAAAATGAGATTGTATTTGTAATGTACTTAGTAGTGTCTGGCATATGGTAGGTGCTTAATAAATGCTTATTATTACTGTTATTATTATTAGAGTTTTGCATATTTTCTTTCAATAAATCTCAAAATTAAAAAAAAGTCAATTCAACAAACATTTATTAAGTATCTACTGCGTGCTTAATAAATTACCAGACCGTGAACAACATGGATGTGAAGGAAAAAAAGGAAACAGTTTGCTTTCCATGACCTTACATTGTGCTGGGTGAAATAACACTCATCAGGTAAGTAAATACTAGATAGATAGATATTTTGTTATTTCAGTCGTGTCTGACTCTTTGTGACCCCATTTGGGGTTTTCTTGGCAAAGATACTGTGGTGGTTTGCCATTTCCTTCTTCAGTTCATTTGATAGATGAGGAAACTGAGGCAAGCTGGGTGAAATGACTCGCCCAGGGCCACACAGCTAGTGTCTGAGGCTGGATTTGAACTAAGGTCTTCCTGACTCCAGGCTCAGCTCTCTATCCACTGCACCGCCTAGCTGATAGATAGATATAGTTGCAGATGTATATCTATTTACACACACACTCACAGTCACACACATATATGTGTATGTGTGTGTGTAACTGGAGAGGACCAGTAGTCGCTGTGGAAATCAGGAAAGGTGACCCTTGTGCTGAGCTAGAAAGGAACGTGGGGATGCTAAAGGGCAGCGATGGCACAGTGGGCATCCCAGTAACAGAGGACGCTCCGGGCAAAGACGTGGAAGCCGATGAAGTGTGGTGTGTGGACAAGGACTCAGGGTAGCTGGGAGGGAGTCATGGGTGAGAAGCAGCCCCTGGTCCGGGTCACGAAGGGCCGCGAACGGCCGACAGGCGCGTTTGTGTTTGACCAAGGGCTGGCCCCTTCTCCAACAGGGGCCCAGGATCTGAGCTTTGGGAACCTCCACTGAGCAGCTGAGGGGAGGCCAGCTCCGAGAGGGAAGAGAATGGGGCCAGGGAGACTGAGCTGGAGGCTAGTCCGGTAGTTTGGGGGAGAGGATGAGAAATCCAGTAGGGCATCAGCCTCTACGTCGGACCCTCCATTTGAACCGTCTACGTTTTCATTTCGCAGGAAAGCAGTTAATTCTCATAACACGGTCCAGCTGCCCCAGGGTCCCCGTCCCGTCGTCTGTGGTTTTGGTTGCTCTTAGGGTGGGGCTGTCTGGAGAGATCTCAGCTCTTCCGCCCTCGTCTTCCTCCTGGGTTTCCTGGTCTTCGCTTTCTCCACGTTGGTCATCTGCACCACCCTGGGACAGCCCATGACGTGTGGGCTGCCGTTGCTTGGGCCTGCTCCCATCGGGGGCCGTGTTGGTTTGGTATCCTTTCCTAGTGCCTGTTTCCCTCTCTGCCTCCTCCTCTTCCTCCCTGTCTTCCTGCACACCCCAGGTGCTAAGAGAAGTTGTCTTGGAAACCTGATGTTTGTTTATTTACCAGGGGAACCAGGGCTGTGCAAATGCTGAAGGGCTTTCCTGTGGGGGTCATTGGGAGTTCCACCAAAGGCAGCCAGCCTGAGCAGCCACTGAGCTTTCCACCCACCGGGCTGTGGCACCCGCCTGCCACGGTCAGTGGAAGAGGCAGTCGGCCAGGCCAGGGCTTCTTGTTCTGGGGCCCAGCAGGCTCTGGGAGAACCGCCGCCCGTCCTATGTATGGCCTTCACCCTTTGGAGGTGGGGATGGGCTGGGCTTGGGGGCAGGGAGGGTCAGTGCAGTGATTATCCACTTCTTGCTGTGGATGGCTGACTGGTCCATCTCTCTCATGAACTTCCCACTTGGGTCCTCACATCGTATTCTTCAGGAGCTTGGAGGGATTTGCCGCCAGACCTCACCCTGAGCTCCCGAGACAACTCCAGCCTCCGTGCTGTGAGGGAAGGCCTTCCTTTGGAGGTGGTGTGATCGGTGAGATGATGAGCTGTGCTTGTCATTCCATGACAGTGCCGTACCCCAGGCATCCCCAGCCATGCTTGTTGGACCCCCAGGCTCCCTGGGCGGCCACCTCCTTGGCACGTGGGCTCCCGAAGTAACTGGGGCAGGTTTCTTTCCCTAAGCCTTGAGAGGTTAAGTGTAGCTTCTGCTGAAAAGCCTCCTGATGGAACACAGTCAGCCAGGAGCAGCATCAGAAATGTGGCCATGGTTAGCTCTAGCCCACACTACCGGGGTGCAGAGTGGCCAGAGAGAGATGGGCCTGGCAAGGCCCTGGGGGGCCTCCGGACCACCCCTGATTCTCCTAGGGGGGGACACCCTCAGGCTCCTTCCAGTGCCCTCACCCCCTCCCCCTCGTGCTCAGATCGATCCTGTCATCTGATCTCTCCAAATGGCAAATCTCGCCAAGCTCCTGAATGTTTCAGGGGCCAGACTCAGTGATCACTAAGTACTCTGACCCTGCAGCTTGCAGCAAAGGGGAAAATACTTCAGGTCCGGGCTGCTCTTTCCATTTTGGGACAAGTCTAATGTGGCAAAAAATGTTCTTCATGACAAGCTGAACTTGACTTCTTTCTGTGGGTCCTTGTGACCCGTGGGACCAGCGGAGGTGGTCTCTTTTAGCCACGTGGCCTTGGCAAGGGCTTAGTAGATGTTCACTGATTGAGGCCTTTCCAGCATCTCAGGACAGTCTTCTCCTCTCCAGGGTCAACACCGCCTTCTTCTTTCCCCCTGTACTCAAGTCTCCCTCTTCTGCTGTGGCCCAGCGGCCCTAGGAGTCCATATTAAATGTAATGCCCCTCCTGAAAGGTGGTTCTCTAGAATGAACACAGCACTTCCCAGACAGAGGCAGGACAGAGCAGGACAGGGCA